TTAAAAACAGTAAAATACAGAAAAACCTAAAATACAAAATACAGTTAAAAACCGTTTTAAAAATAATTTTTGCAATTCAAATTAAGGTTTCTACACAAAATTAATCAATTCATCCAGCGTGGAGAAGAACAACATTTTCGATGCACAAAAATTTAAACTTTTGGTCCCAAAAGACATTGAAGTTGAAGCACCAGCTGACTGAATTCACTATACTACTATGAGTTTCAAATGTAAACAAATAGTGGACACATTAGACCTACCAGCCACTTACTCTTTTAATTTGTTGATAATTCTAGAACTATCTCATGCGGATTAACTAAAAGCATAAAAACCTTAACCGGAATATTAGAACAACCTAATTCAATCTCTTTCAAACAAAAAATGCTCAATTTACCAACATATGGAATAAAAAATTGAGCTCATCCGAGCCACGTAACAAAGTGGGATACGCTTGGTGCGGTCGATTACAACAAAAAATGAGGTGCATAACTGGATGTTAAAGCAGTCCCGTATACAAAATTTCAACATTTTACGGCTAATCGTTTTTGAGTTGGGCAAGAGAGATACATACATATATACGTAGTGACGTTATGACAAAATTCCTTCTGGATCCATTTAGAATCTATTTTATAACCCATATCGGAAAAATTAGTGCTTTATTCTGTCCGATATGTACCAATGTCATACAAAAAAATTCATTCATATGGGTTCAAAAGAGGTCAAAATTGATATTGTTCGTCGAAATAAGATACCCTGAAATTATTCTCCCATTACAATATTCCCTTTACTTCATACACGAAAAAAAATATCACATAAAGAATAACCTTGAAACCCTCAATACAATGCTTCCATTTAGGATTGCATCCGAAAATTGCTGCATATTTTTCTGGATTTGGGAAAACGTAGACATGAATTCGCTTTCGTATAATTACGTAACTATTTTCTGAAATCGCAATAGAAATAAATTCAATAATCAAATAATTTTTCGTTCTGTGCATAAGCGTAACCGAATGTCTATGAAGGGAAATGTTTATAAAAGTATGATAAGGTTATATTTCTCTTTATGCGTGGAAGCTGTCTCCATTGAAGTTAAGAACGAGAAGTAAAATAGACTATAACATAGAATTCAATCAAATTATTTAAGTTCTGAACACGTTATGTGTAGAAACCACGATTACTTGATTTTTAGTAGATATTTCAAAATCTCACAAAAACATCAGGATGACCGTTTGGAGGAGCATACAAAATTTGTGTCAATTACATTTGAAAATCCAAAATATTCGCAAAATGCCTGAATATATTATAAATACATTTTCTGAGGCATCTGAAATCAGAGCTCTGCAATGCAGGAATTGTTACTAAAACTCAAGAAAGTCTTGTCACTTTACTCTGTTCGTGTTATACTTTTCTCTTTGTAACTCTGAAAGATTGGAAAACTATTCTCCCGGTAGGTATTTATTCAATAGGAGATATTAGTATGGGAAAAAAGTTTAAGTCCTCAAATTACTTTCTAAAAGTGCAAAATATAATCTAATTATTGTGAAATCTTCTCTAAAATCTTATTACTTCTTTGCGGTTTAATATGATTTTTTAACGTCATATGAAACTCTAATTGGAACTAATGATTAAGTCTTTTAATATATTTTAGTATTACTCACATTTATCACTAAGGACTAGTCTTTATTTATTAACTGATGAATTTCAAAGAATTAAATGGCCGATGATTCCCAAAATCGCTATTATAAATTACTTCTTTAATTACATTAATCAGTAAATCATCCATCTGAAGATGATTTAAAGGAATGCGTTATAAAGGTTTTAAACATGTTATATTTTGTGTTTATTCTTGCAATAAAATAGGAGTGTTAATGATAGTTGTATTTATATGTACAGTCAAAAGAGGACATAAGAATACACACATTCATCTTTATTCATACAATCAAAAGGGGACATAAGAATACACACATTCGTCTTTATTCATACAATCAAAAGAGGACATAAGAATACACACATTCGTCTTTATTCATACAATCAAAAGAGGACAATCACACAGCTGTGTTTAGTTATGCAAGCAAAAGAGGATGTGTGCATATAGCGTCCTCACCTTCCTTGCAAATTGTAGACTTCTTAAATAAAAGAAATTTTAAAATTTTACGAGTTGTATCATCATTCTGAAGCTAATTGAAGAATTTTGGTGCAAAAAGATTTCCAAAATTCCAATTCCTTCATAGGGTTCTCCGTTTGGTGGTGTGGCAGCATATGTCTCGGTTTACACCATAGCCCAACCATGGTGTGTGTGTGTGTCTGTGTGTTGTTGTTGTTGCTCTATTTCAGTGCAAACTTTTTTAATTCTGTTCAACTGGTTAAAAACTGTATTACGTTTTTAGAGATGTTGGAGTACCAATTTATATGTTTTATTGTAAAAAAATTAAATTCTCTTCTTTTATCAAATAGTCATATTTCTTTAAGATTACGAATGCTGAGACCTACATAATCTATAACTAATTGATTTTTATCAGTTTTATTTAGACAGTTGGGGTAGATGTTGCTAATTTCAAAAGGATTATTATTGTTGAAAGTGATAATATTATCAATATATCTGAAAGTTTATTTAAAATTACTGAAATCACTATCAAAAAGATTTTTAAGAAAAAATTTAGGTAAAAAACAGATTACATGAATAGCTGAATAAGAACCTCTCATTGGAATACCATTTGTTTGTAGGCAAAGAAATTTTGAATGTTTTATGTAGTTATTGAAAAGCAAAAAATAGAGGTATTCTTTCCATTTTTGCAAATCCAGAATAGTAAGCATTTCAAGGGGGGGGGGAATTGATAGCTCAACAAGACTTTCATAGATTTCATTAAATAGGAGAGACGTGTAGAGATTTTCAAAGTCCTAGTAGTTAATATTGCAAACTTTAAGATTTTTAATTTTCTCGATCATTTGTAAGTTGTAAAAATCCAATCATCTGTCATCAAGTCACCAATGAAGCCAAACTGGCACTCCTAAGCATCCATTTTGAATGTAACATTTTGGTCTTGTAGTTTGATTACAGTGTTCTCTGTTAATTTCAAGTAGATTTTGTATTTCTGCATTTTAATTTCAATTTTTATCTTACATTCTGTGAAAAAAAAATACTTAATTATTTACTTCATTCAACATCATAATTTTTTTCATTCGGGTATGTTTGTTTTTTTCCTTAACGAACTGTTTCTTCGTCCTCTGAGTAAGTTTTAAATTCATGTTCCCGGTTTATTTATTAGTGTTTTTGTATTTCTAGTTAATTTCAATTTTAAATTAAGTAAAAACTGTCTTAGATTATTTTGCTTGAGTTGAAATTGGAATTCTTATGCTGCATCGGCGAGGAGTGCAGAACTTTCGGAGGAATGATTCTAATTCAATAATTTGGAATTATTCATCAGCTTATTTTGGATTACAGAAATGCAGTTGTTTTCAGTGGGAAGGGGGATTCAATTGAGTTTGATGTACCTCCTCTTGAAAACATTATACAGTACAAAGTCCGTAATTCGGATGTCCATTATCCGGAATGATCTATAATCCAGACCTCGAGGCCCAAAACTTTTTTTTTTGTATGCTTTACGCATGCGTATTAATGTGCGTTGGGAGGATGTGTCTTCAGATACGTGATGAAGATGATAGCCACGAATTTGAAGGTTTTCAGACATCGCAAACTAAAGGTGAAATTTTCCAGTTATTGGATTTTGTAAAGAAATATGGAGAAGCGGTAATAAATGAAGATGATATAACAGAAGTTTTTCATTGCGACAACAATGCCCCAATCATCAGTCAATTAACAATCAGGAAAATCTGTAGTATGGTTCTAGATCCAGAAAATACCGCTACTGAAAGTGAAGTAAGTGACAAGTAGGTTATTGAAAACAAAAAAATATCGATTGACAAGTTTAGTCGGTATTCTCGACACAGCATTTACAGGAACTTTGTAACTGAACAAGAAATTATGTCTGTTTATAAAATTAAAGAGAAAGTATTAGCACAAAAAGCGAAACAACATTAAAAGAAATATTTAATAAAGTAAACAAATAAATATTAAGCCTTTTTTTTTAATATAAATTTTGATACCTTTTAGATCATAATTGCTCTTTATTTTATAAATTACAGTTTGATATTTTTAATTGTATAATTTCTGCTTGCCATCTTACCAGATTTAAATTGATGATCTATATTCCCGAATCGCCGACAAGTCTGGATTACAGACTTTGGTCCTGTATCAGGTTTGATTAACGGTAACATTGCATTCCTCTTCTTCTTCTTCTTCTTCTTTTTTTTTTTTTTTTTTTTCCATCAGTTGTTTTTATTTTTTGTGATTTTAGAATTTTTGAGGTTTTAGTCGTTAACATGTCTTTCTTATTTTTGAATTCTGCTGATTTGTGTTAATTTTACTTATTTACAGGGAATTATAAAATCTTTTGAAATTTATAGGGAATTTTGAAAGGTTATACTATATGGTGGTAATTATTAAAATAGGTAACTATTTAAGTATTGTTCACAACACAAAATGGCAGATAAACTCTTTACGAGATATGTATAGCATTAATGATATATTATCATCTTACAGAAGCATTATACATTGTTCGTGGGTCTTACACTTTTTAAGTCTTAGTATATTCTCTTTCTGTGAGCAACACGAGCAAAATGCTTAGTAAATGGAATTATATATTTTTAACCCTCATGTATATATATATTATTTCTTTTAAGTAATAAGTGACTTAACAATGTTTTGAGATTTAAACTGACAAATATTTTATAAGATTATAATAATATAATAGCAAAATTTATACAACTAATAATCCAGTTTAACATTTTCTTAATAATGATGTATGTAAAAATTTATCTATAAAATTGCTCATTTTCGCAATTCAGTTTTTCATCAAAATGAGCCTGACTTATCCAAAAGGGGCAGAGCCTTAATTATTTCAGATAAATGAAATTCTGCTGTAATTTAGTTTTTAATGTTACAGCACTGTTTACCTTATTTTCAGGTGGCGTTTGCACAGGAGATGTATAATGGTGGGCTTTTAATGACAGATGAGCCTTTGGTGCCAATTGATTAGCCAAAAGCAAAAAGGTATTATGCTCTTTAAATGACTGCATAAGCTTTCACTGCCTCCTCTCTTAAAAAAATTATAATAATAATCCCATTATTCATTTTATTTCCATCACCCTTTTATTCAAAATACTAAATCACTTTTATTCACATCGTGATCAAATAATTTTTGTTTCAGAAAGAATTAGGTTTTAATTTTTTTTTATGATAGAAGTTTTTTCTTTTTAAATTGTTTCATGAGCCAGAATAGAATATATTTTTATTTAAAGAGCTAGTTTACTAACTGAAGACCATTTAAAAAGGAAATTGAGCTGTAATTATTTATAGTCATATTATTAAAAAATAAAATTTTGCAAGTACATCAAATCCAGCAAATCAAAATTAATTCAGATTTTGTATATGTACATAATTATGAATTATAAACCATTACATAGCTAACAACTTTCCCAGTTTTTCATCCTATCTGTCGGTCATAGAATCTTCCAGTTTTTAACCTCTTATTTCATCATTATTGATGCATTTTTGTCATTTCATCCATGCAGCTGTAAACGTCATGTAAAACTAAAAATAGAACTAGGGTTAGTGCCATTGATAAACTTAAAGCAGAATATTGGTTCAGGTTAAAAATCTTTCGCATGAAATTCTATACGAGAAAAGTATTGTTAAGAATTTCTATATATGTAAATAATTTTATAGAAATTATATATGAAATTGTAGTATCTTTCATGTAGTGTAACATCAGAAGTCTGAAGAGAACAAAGCTCTGCCAAAAAAATAAAATTACAGGAGCAAGTCTATTTAACATTGAGGTGTAAATGGCTGTCTGACTAAATTGGCGAGACAACGACAAGCTTGCATTTTTTCTTCAGCGATTAATTTTTGTTGCCAAATCTGGGAAAAAATCGCCAAGCTTGGTGACCATTTGGCAGTATTTAGGTCCAGTCCCTGTATAATTAATTTATGCTATAATTGAATGATTATAATTGATCCTGAATGCAACTGTAATTGTATCCGGCCCTTATATGCCTTTCAATAATTTTGAGACATGGAATGTACTAAGATATGCCAGTGGCTAGTAAAAAAACTATATAAAACTGAGGAGAGCATCAGTTTTTTGTTGAGAGTTAGATCTCCATGTGAGCTTTGCTCTTTATATGTGATTTTCATTACGTTCTGTTTAACATTTTTAATAGTTTAAAGTGGTAACGACAGGTCTGCTCTGTCTTCCTGAGAAAAGATGTCTGAGTACTTTTGTGGAAAGTCTTAGAACTGTAAAGCATTTCTTTTGTGAAAATAAACTTTATCAAGCTATTATTCATTCTGTGTGCATTCAGTCCATTGCAGATCCATATGTATGCAACAATATTGACATTTTTATCTCAAATTCCAGAAAGCCTGCAGTAAGTACAAATATTTAAGGCTATCATATACTGCAGTATCACTTTTTGGCTATACTTAACACTAATGCTTGAATGTGAGTAAATGTTAAATCAAGTGAGCAATATAGAGATTTTAGATCATCTCTTTCAAATGCACATCTGGGAAAATTGTTACTGCTTCAATACTGCAAATGTCAATGGAAAATAAATGTCAATATCACAAAAGATACTGTGAAGGAAAACTGCTATGATATATGCTTAAAAACAAGGAGGGGGTAAGGTGACTACATCAGCATTGTCATCTTTAATAAAATTTCGGTACTTATCAAGACTGAATTCAGAAATGTAATGTATGGATGTATGTGTTCATGTATGCATGTATATATTGTACATACGAATGTATGTATGTGTATACATATGCACATATATGCATACACATATGCATAAATACATACATTTCTAAATCTGGTCCATGTAACAGAACAGCACCAAAATTTGTGCTAATTCCATTTTTCACTCATGACAAATTTCAGCTTGATTCTTATCCTGTATGTAATTTTTATTTCATCTGAACTGTTTTTGTTTTAATCTACTGTAACCGTTAGCAGAAGTTTTATGAAGATTAAAATCAGTGTTTAATTAGTTAATGTTTGTATTTAATTTTGTTTTAGATCAATAAATGACACATTGTGCAAAAAAAAAAAAAAAAAAAAAAAAAAAAAAAAAAAAAAAAAAAAGAGGGGGACAGTTCTATATCTTTATATATATATATAAAATTTAGACTATCTGATTGTATTGGGATATATTTAACATCAAAATCGTACTATATTTCAGTAGTATTTTACATCAGAATCACAAAGCTACGCAGCATGGAAACTTCCTGATTTTTCATGTTTAAAGGTTGCCATAATGTTAGATTGCTAAGATAGATTCTGACTAGGCAAAAGAAATCTCTGCTCTGAAAGTTTCTATAGGGATATATCTAAAGAGAGATTATGAGGCAAAATGAAACTATTTTTAGGTTAAATGCATTCTGTAGGCATGAGCTGCGATAGACTAATAACTAGGTCTTGTTTGTTCCAAGACTTAAAATCCATCTTCAGTGTTCCAGAATTGAATCATGTTAATACAGTCAAAAGTCGTTAATTCGGACATCCATAATCCGGAATGATCTATAATCCGTACTTCAAAGCTACAAACTTTCTGCACATGCGTCGCGTTGACGCATAGGCGTTTACGTGTGCGCGTAAGACCTTTACGGCTGCGAATATGCATGTGCACGTGCGCATAAAACGTTTACGCATGCGCGTTTAATGTATAACGGACGGTATAAGCTAAGCTAAAATTATCTAATTCGGTTAATGTTGCAGATTGCATTGTTCCTTAATCTTCGAATTGGATCCCGGCTTATTATATTTTGCAGACTGTTAGAGCAATTTTATAAAAGTAAGCTTGAACTTTCGACTATATCAAATAGAATTTCCGATATATATTTGCTAATATGTAAAGGATCTAAAGCGAAAGTATGTTTCGAAATCCGAAATCTGTTTATCAATTTCACGCTGCTCGGCGGGGGAAATGCCGCGGCGCGCAATGAATTGGAAATTGATCTGTCAGCACTATCCTTATCTTCAGGGCAGATGTTTTTATTTTATTTGGCTTATAATTCCTTACTAAATGTAGTATTTCATCTCGATGTACTCCGTCTTTGATATGATTTAAAACAAGTTCCTCGTTATTATAATTTGCTTCCGATAGTGAAGAAAAGTGACAGAGGTTATTGAAAACGGAAAAAATTTCGATTGACAAATTAGTCGGTATTCTCGACACAGCAATTATCGGTATTCTCGACACAGTGTCCAAATTTGCATAATTTGTGAAATGAGTGAGCCCATGACAAAATGAGGCAATGGGAAAGATGTAAACTAAAATCAAAGTGGCTAATGAAACTCAAATATAATGCCATCCTCATTCCTTCCAAGGCAGAGGGACATCGAATTATCATAGACTCTTCCGACACTTTACTGTAAGAAAGCCAACAGTTTGATACTAGCCAAAGGAATAATTTGAAGCTGCTAATATGTTTTTAAAAGTTTTATTATTATTATTATTTATTCGGCGAATCAAAAGATGCTTAAGTAGGTAATTGAAACATTTAGCTTCTTAAATCCATCTTGATGTTTTTAGGTACAGGAATAACTAATGAAATTTTAAAATGCACTGTTCTGCTTAATCTATTTTGACTTAATGTTCTGACTCTGTTATTTATATACCTGTCATTCAATTTTGTGCTATTTTTAGAATTTTGAAGTTCTTTCTGTAAATTTCTATGATTGTCTACTTGAAATTTTTACTTTCCTGTTTTGAAGAGTTTTTAAATATTTTGATGTTGCTTAAATACATAAAAAGGCATCAAGACTTTTATGTGTACGTATTTTGAAAAATTTTATAAAATATAATATTTTTATCTTTTGCAGTCTTGTCAAATATGGAAGTCAACAATATTTATCATTCTTGTGAAAGATGAGAATGAAGGCTTTGACATTTTGGCATTCTCCAGGCAGTTAGGCCATTAATTACATCATCAGTCATTGTAATTTCTTAAACAATTTTTTGGTAAAATGAAATATTTAATTTTGAATTATAAAGCTCTTTTTACCATCTTAGGTATGTAATCAATCAAAACATCTATACTATCAGTAAACTATAAAAAGTAAAGTTATTTCTGTTAATGTCTATTGCACATCAAAATTTTCAAATATTATGGCCTGGAGATTTTATGTGTCATCTTTCAAAATATCGTCAGTGTTTTGTAATTCAGAGCTTTGTGTCAAATTGTAATCTACAGATTATTAACAAAAGAAAAATTACCTGATTTGAATACAGGCCTAATTTTGATTGGAATACATAAAAGAACTGTTTTGACAAGTTGGCAATCCATCGTAGTAAAGTAAAACGGAACTACAATAAATTTGTTTCATAAAATGTAAATTTATTAGTTGCCGGACATAGGAAATTGTAAGTCACTACAACTGGCCATTTTTTCAACAAGACAGGAGTAATTTAAGACAGAGATGAAAATGCTGATGAAATAGAAATATGTCTTAAGACTATGTAAATGTTGATTAAATACATTTTCTAATGTGATTTGTATAATAAAATGTGTTCTTATTGTTATTTGAGATGGGGTTAAAGGTTCTGTATCATTTGTTAAGATGTTGCATCTAATATGGAAATGAAAAACTGAAGCTCAAGCAATTTTTTAACCTATTTGTTAAAATTTTGGGTTTTAGAATTGTTTTAATCTGTCAGTAAATTAATTATATGCATAATAAAAACATCTCTCTATCATAGAATGTATATAAAACACAATGAAGTGCTATTCTGTTCTACGATGCTTGGTTTTCCATGCATATCCTCACAATTTTGTTTTCAAACGTGCAGAATATTTCTCTGTAAATAAATATATTACTAAATTGTCAATTGAAATACCAATTTTTTTTAATATCCTGCCAATTAATATAAAATATTATCATCTACGTATTTGTAATGTATATGTTACATAAGCAACGGGAATAAATGTTCACCAACACATTACAGTGAAATTGTATACAAGAATAAAATGAATTTGTTAAAAGCACAAATTTACTGAAGTGCATTTTGCGTATCCGTGCATTTAGAATTTGTTATGTAGAAATCCCTAACAATGTTTTGTATACTGCTGTTCAAATAAAAAGAAATTACATGCAGCATTTATTGTAACTATTCCATATCACCAGTATATACTTACCACCAAAGCACTGGATCATTAATATCTACCTAAGAATGAAGATATTATACGAGGTTGCTATTTATATTTCTGGTTTAATAATGAAAAAATAAATGTGTGTGATCGAAATTGATTTCACTGTTTTTCAAAATATTCTCCATGAAGATCAATTAACTTTTGCATGCGTTTGAACCAATTTAGGAAAAACTGGAAAACCTTTTTCTACTCAGATTGAGGTAAGTCCAAAACATGCATTTTGAATCCATCAGCCACTTCTTCAGGTGTCACAAATCGCTGACCATGTAATTTATTTTTGATGTGTGGGAATAAAAAAAATTCACTGAATGCCAAATCAGGGCTGTATGGTGGATGACCCACCAATTTGATGTTTTTGCCCATAATAAATTCTTTTGTTTGAGCTTTTGTGAGAGATTACATTGTTATGATGAAGAATGATTCGCCTCTTCTCCTGCCTTTTTTTTTTTTTCCTCTCGAATTTTTACTATGACTTCTGGCAAACAAATGGTCGTGTACCATTTGGAATTGAACTTCCTGCATTGCTCTATCACCACTGTTGCCATGTGACCATTAATGCCGAACATAGGCAATCATTTGCTTCGATGTGCTTTTCGAATATTCTGTTTAAGAAGTTTTTAAAAGTTGTTTAAAAACGGAAATGTTATTTCCCAAATAACTTTTGTTGAATTTGGCTCATCTTGGAAGATTTTGGACGACCTTCACAGAATTCATCCTGAAGCTACTGCCAACCACGATTTAATCCGTTATACCAGTTTTTTACAGTGCTGTAGGATGGTGCTTTATCACTCTATAAAGAATTAAGTTCATTAAAGCACTCGTCTTGATAATCTACGTCAAAAAGTTATAAAAAATAATTGCATGGAAATGTTCACGAGTCAGTTCCATTTTTTGCCTGAGATGAATTTTTCAATTTACTATAAACAACACAAATCATGCTAAAGTGGCAAAAATTTCTGAAGATGTTATGGCTAAAAGTATCATACTTTCTATTGGAATTATCTGCAGTCACTTAGCAACACTTACTGTTGCCAAGGCCAGAAATATAAACTGCAACATTCGTAATAGAGCATTCATATATGACCCAGACATTGGATTTTTTGCTATCTGCGAGATGCAATGCAGTAAGTTAGTGGTCTCAAACTCATACGGCATGTGGGTCAAATGCACAGTCTAAAAGCAGCAGATGGGGCAAAAATTTGTTTAACAAAATTTGAAGTTTTGTTTGCTTATTATTTATCAAAACATACATAAGCAGTAATAATAATGTTGCCAAGATTTTATTTTTCCATCTGAAATCTAAAGTATCTCTAAAAAATTTCTGTTAGTTACTTTGTGCAATTTCAAATCCTCTGATAGCTGAATAATAAATTTTCCGACTGATGTTTATTCAAATACCTCTAATATATTGAATTAGCCACTAAATAACTTACTTTTAACATGAAATAAACAAATTAGGAAAACTTCCCAAGCAAAATTTGAGAATAGAATAAATAATGGCAACCTATTCTCATTCTTTTATTAATGAACATATAAAGTAAATAGAATAAATAATCGCAACCTATTCTCATTCTTTTATTAATGAACATATAAAGTAAATAATTATTTGCATAGATATATTTATTTGTACATGAATAATTATATGCTTCTATTTTTATTACTATAACACCTCATGACATTTCAATTTTCATAAAGTTTGCAACCTTAGAAGGTCTGGTTTATTGCATTATGAAAAAGGACATTAGGCTATCTGCCTAAGGGGAGGGATGCCTTCATTAAGGACTTTTTAAGAGAAACTGCCTCATATGCGTGTTACACATAGGGAAACAACGAGAGCACCTATGCATGCAACCATTCGCCTGGAATCAAACCCAGGTCAGAACTATCAGTGTTTTTACAATTGTAAGGGAAAAAAGTTTCCTTCTAAATGCACTTCCAAAGTAATTATTCTCAATGCAAATTTTCACTAACTGAAGGTATTTATTAAAAAAAAAAAAAAACACAGAAATAAAAGTTATTGTTGCATGCATATGGGTTCATAATAGATTGAATGCATAAATCCATTAATAGGTTAGTAAACATTTATTTTTTATCAGAAGAAATATTTTGGAACTCTTAAACTTTCCACGAAAATATTTGTACAAGTGCTCAGAGTATCACACGCTATAATCATTAGTTACACTTCAAACTACTAAGAACTTTAATCACAGTGCAATGCAAAGCACATCTAAAGAAAGCTATTTCAGATTTATCTCAGTTCACGTGGAGCTACGACTCGCAACAACAGTAACTAAGCAATTGAAAGCAGATGCTTTATCTCCTTTTATAGTTTTCAACTGCCATTGAGATATTTCTGGTACTTTCTGCTTCTTGAAATTATTGAAAAGCAATACGAGGGTGGAATTATTGTTACGGCTAACATAGTGGTCAATTACATTTATTCAATTACGAAACTTATTATGGTGATATAGGGAGCGGACAAAAATGTTGTCAAATGTCAAACGAGTTGGCGTTTTTTGGCAACAGAATAAGTTGCCAAAATCGTTGTCAGCTTGGAGACATCTCGCTAAATGACCGAGATACCCATTTACTCATTTTTTTTTCCCCTTGTATTCGTACTTCTCTGGCATAGCTTTCTCTTAAAATTTGCCTTACACTACATTACACAGAAAAATGCAACAATTTTACTTATAATTCTACTAAAATTATCTAAAATTCATAAAGAGGTTTTCACATCTAGCGACTGTTACTGCTAGACGGGACTTTTCTGAAAACAAAATTTTGGTAGCACTGGTTTAAATAGGAGGATTCCTAGAAAAAAGAGCTACACTGGGAGCGAAGTCCCGCCTAGCTATGGAAATGATGTATCGGCTACACGGGATTTCTTGAAACCTCGCCGAAAATGTTTCGGTTGCAGCTCTGTCCTGCGTAGACGAATGTTCTGCTTCTGAAGTATCACATGATCCCAATCTGAGCGATAATTGATTACCGTTTGGTGTTCAAGTCTTTGTAGTAAGTGAATATGGTAACCTATCTACGTGGCTTTCCTGGTATTATGTGGGTTCTGAGAATGGTCCCTTTCAACGTCAAGTCCCTCGTAACGTAATGTGATTGGGATTTAACATTACTCCCTTTCCAAGGACATTACAATCCCCGGACAGGAAGCCGTTACAATTAAAGCATCAATGCAATAATAAACATTACAATAATTAACAATGTAAACAATAATTGCAATAAGTAACTTAGTAAATGAGTGCGCAAATTTAAAAACGAATAGTAATTTGGTTTAATACTATTTACATTATATACACCTACTATGGCCATAGTAAGAAGCTAGCCTGTCATAATGAACAACTTGGGGGAGGGAAGAAAACAAGAATTTGATGACTTACGGATCCGAACTACAATGTCATTCAGCTGTTTAGGACTGTGTAAGGACCATCCCAAGATAACTAGTTTAGGACAGATTCCTTTCCGGCGAATCGGATTTCACAACCACATCGTGTCTCCTTCATTAAATTGATGTCTTGTAGCTCTCGTGTTGTACCGGGTCTTCATTTTCTCTGTGGCCATGTTGACTCATTCTCGTGAAAACTTCTGCATCCCTTCAAACCATGCCTGGAGATCTTCGATGTACTCAAGTGATGAAGGTGCATCCGGAGGGTCACCAAACAAGAGATCGCAAGGCAGTCAAAGAGCATCTGAAATGGGGAATAGCCGGTAGTCTCCTGGACAGCTTTGCAGTAAGCCAGTAAAAACAGAGGCAACTCCCTTGTCTCAGTCCTGTTGGTTTCTGGAAATCACCAGGGAGAAGTTATTAAGGATGGTTCAATTAAACCCCTCTACCATCCTGTCTTAACTGCGGGTATAAAGGTATCGTTTAGGATTTGTTGGTGCAAAATTTCTTCCTTGCTCAGAATGCAACTGAAGAGGCACTCCGAACCCGGAAATCGAATACCATATGATTGTCTCTTCTGCTGTGACAGCCTCTTGATCAGAAATAGGATATGCTTCAGGCCACTTGGAGAAGTAATCAATGACAATCAGGATGTATTTGTTGTCATCAGCAATTTGTGGCTGAGGTCCCACGCTATCAAAGGCGATGCACTCGAAAGGTGCTTCTACAATGTAACGTTGTAGCTTTCTTCGGTCCTATCTGAGCCGCACAGTGATCCCAAGATTGGCACTACTGTTGCACGTCATCCTTTGCATTACTCCAGTAGAAGCACTCTCTGCGAAGTCTTCATTATTCTGAAGTGGCCTCCTGTAGGGCTGCTATATAGTTCTTTGAGGATGTTCGGGATCTTGGAAATATCAGCTGCCACTGCAAAGCCTTTCCATCATCTGATTCGAATTTCCAATATAATATACTGTTTCAATGTTGAGTAAGTCCCAGAGAGCCCAATATTGTTATGTCATAGAAATGTAGATTGAAATGTCAGGTTAGGTAAGTTTCTTTTGAAGCCTCCTTTAACTCTTTGAAATCCAGACCCTCCGCTAACCTGTATCCTCAAAAACCTGGACTGCCCGAAATGCCTCAAAAAACCGACTGTTTTTAAATGCATCCTCACATTCTTCCAATTTCACTGCAATTTCCTACCCTCCCCGTCCATTAACGCAGAAAATAGGTGTGAAGATTTCCAATGACAACCTTTGTACTTTCTAACAAAGATTCCATTAAGCCTTTGACTCCGTTCTTTATAAAACTATTCTGAAGGTCAGACCAACAAGCCTTTCCGGCTTTGTTATGATCAGGACTGAGATTTTGTTTATTTCCATTATTTGTATAGGAAAGGATAAATTGTTTAAAAATAAATATAATGCTTAAATTTTTAAACTGCTCTTTTATTGCTGTTTAATGCTTAAAATCACATTGTACCACAAAAGAATCAACAACGAAATGTCACGATCAACCAAAAGATAAGTACCCTCTTAGGACAAGCTGTC